CGGAGCGAGAAAGCACGTAAAGGGTATTGATCCTGGTTATTTATCCACTCTAACAGCAGAGGACCCAAGACCATTTGACCAGTGTTTGTGTTTCATTTAAAGTCCCACGCGGTTTATTTGTGAAAAAATAGACCATTTAATGACGCCTTATAATCCAGAGTGACTAATAATGCGGAAAATACGGTATATTAACCCTTTGTTTCCCAAGAAATATTCATCTAAGTTTATAAGAATGATCTAGAAATTATTACTAGTGTCGTGTTTATTACTCACTGAATAAAAAATACTGAAAAACTATATCAGTAGCCCGTGTTGGGAGTTATAAAAGTTATAAAAGTAACAAATTACTGTGCTGCGTTGCTTTTTGCTGCACAAATGTGAGTATCGCGCGTCACGGTGCTTTTTTTTTAACCTGGATTGAAGTGGTGGGTTTTTCTTTTTTCTTCATATAAATCCAGTGCAGTTTATTTGTGAAAAAAGTTGGAAAATAGACCATTTAATGACTTAGCGCCTTATAATCCAGAGCGACGTATAGTGCGGAAAATACGGTAGCTCTTTGCCATTTTTGTTTTGTAGGTCGCTGACCAGAGGGAAAAGGCTGGAGACCCCTGATAAAGAGAGTCCTGCCCACGTGGACTGTAAACGATGTGTCTCCAAGTGCCCATATTAACCAGGCCCTCATCTAAAACATCCAGTGTGACTTGCGTGGGCTGTATGGGCGAAGTGTCTTGCACAATGACACAACGCCAACAAGGGTAAGGAGTGATTCAACAACAGGCTGATGGGAAAATCTTTAAGCACATCTTCTTCGCTCCCCAATCTGTTCCCAATCTCTCGAATCGAAAGTATTTGGAGCATTTAAAGTGCGTGCCCCGAGTCCCGTCTCCGTGTAAATAAACTGCACTTGTAAACGAGAGCCTTTGTTTTTCACTTCACACGTTGTTGAGGCTCATTTGTGTGGAAGTTTCACACTGACACACACGCCGAGCGCCCGGAGCTCACACACCACTTCCTCCGCGCTCACTGTGGGAAAAAAACTCTAAAACCAAATCCCCCAAAAGCATCACAAATATTTAAATCTGCACCTAACGTCATCGCTTTGCAAATTTATTAAAAGATTTAGATTTTATTTTATTTCTGATCAGTTTTAAAGTCGGACTCTTTTGTTTCATTCACGATTAACACACAAACCTGCACATTTAGCGTGAGTTCTTCTCTCAAACCGAACTGAAAACGCTCCAACTTCCACCTCGTGATGTCATGCGGCGATGCAGAAAGTGCTCCGCTGTGTTTTTAAACTCCACACATCTTCACTAGAATCGCTCGGATCGTTTCAGACATGGAATTTCCCTGGAATCTCCGCTGAACTAAAGTTGAAAACGACCGCTTCATGACATCACGAGGTGGAACAGAGCGTTTGGAGACTTGTAGACGTAGACAGAACAATAATAAAGATTTACTCAAACGTGTGAATGTTTTTGAGGAGGGAACAACATCAGAACTTGGATTAAAGCTCACAAGAGTCAGTTTTGTGTAATTTAGGACCTTGAGATGACTCAAAAGTCTGGTGAATACGTTTCTTTTCCTAAATTTAACCCAGATTATGTTAGATATCTTAAAAAATTATAATAAAATAGATAAATAAATAAATATACAGATGGTAGTTTTAACAGTAGAGGTCATGATGTGAATTAGGGACGGGCATTCGATGAAATTTTCTTAATCGATCGTCGGAAGAATTAACGATCGATGATCGATTAATCATTAATGTTTTTATATTAAAATGATCATCATTATTATTACTATCTGCACTAATCTGCATAAATAAATTCAACTTTACGACATATAAACATAACGACTCTAGATCCACATCAGCTGTTTGACATTATAATGTGTTTAATTCAGTTTTGTTCAAATCTCACAGAAACAAAACTTAAAACCACATCACTAATTTACATAAACTAAGTGAAGATAAAACTCCAGCTCTTGTGTCGCTGATGCGGTTCAACTTGTGTTGGATTAAAAGACATGACTCAGGTGAATACAGGTCAGTGTGACCAGATTTGTGTTTGTCAAAACCAGGACAGCGTACGGGGGGAGGGGGGCGGGGCCTCGTCATCCACATTGAGCGACTCTCACCTGGAAAAACTTTTTCCCACTGGACACAGAAACATATGTGCTGCTTTATCCACTGTGCACATGGACTCACACTTGTCCCAACGCAACGGAAAGTGTGGAATTTCTTCTACAAATCCTGGTTAAATCCACATTTGTGCTTCGGTTCGTTACAGACTGACCCACTGTTTGTGTCTCGCTCCTTCTGATGCAGAGACACATGTACACACCTGTTTGGTCACGACACACAAACATACATTTGGTTTGTCGATTAAAATGAACGTAATCCATGAAATTCTTAATGATCAATTATCGATTAATCATGCCCATCCCTAATGTGAACCCTGTTACCCTCCGCTCACCTGGGTTTTGTTCAGGCTCTTGTCCTTTATGCTCTTCTATGAACATTTCAAGACCTAACGGCAATTTTTTAGTGATGGGCAAATGAGTCGGAGTTCCGGAGCACGTCTCGTTCTTTCTGAAACAAATTTCTCCGAAGCACTGCCTCGGAGCTCGTCTCGCAGCAGCCGCTCACGTGACCGAAGCGTCGAAGTGTCGGTCCCTCCCCCTGCCGCTTCGCTCTGCGTGTCGATCGCTTCAGCGTATCGAAGCGTTTCATTGGCTCGGCAAATGTTCCGCTCTGCGATTGGTTCAGAGCTTCAGAGTGTTCGGCGCACTTCCGTGGTTTGACGAGCGCTAAACTGCAACGGTATAAAAGATGCACCGATATTTCTTAAAAATGTTGGGTAGTGAGGAGTATTGTGTGACGTTAGTGGTGATTTTGGCGACTTTTGGCGTTTGTTTCCTTTTCGACGGCGTCTACAAGTGGAAAAAATGCGATCCACGGTTTGGGATCACTTTGATTAACCTATTTTCTTATTTACAGCTGCTATTTATGTTGCTCTTTACATATTATTTTAAATCATCATTATTATTGTTGGTAAGGTGTTTGCTCTGCACACAAGTTTTGTCTTACACTAACAATACTTCATCGATGCTGAGACTCCTGGTTAAATTTGTCCACTAGAGGTCAGTGTTTCTCCGAGCCTCAGACACGTCAAACCATTTCAGACGATATTGTGACTGAGGTGTCGATGCTTCACGAGGCTCCGTTCGCCCATAACTACAATTTTTCAGTGCATTTGTCCTCACTTTTTCTTTCTTAATTTTGCTGTTAAAACTCCCAATTTTACCTCCAAATGAAGTGTTATACATTCTTTTTTTTTTCAGTACAACCTGTTATTTCACAATCTGCTGCTGTAGTCGCTACAGGACCAGAAATACAAATGAAAAAAAAAAAAAAAAAAAAAAAGAAAATTCACACTCTTTCATACAAACACACACAAACAAACGCGTATCAACAACTTTTTGGACAGAAACAACGCTTCATTTAGGTCCTTAGCTACAAAAGTGTAAAATATCAAATGCGTAAATAAACTAAAAATCTCCTTATTGCTTCAAAATAACAAAAAAAATGCAATGGCCTCACGACTTGACTGGTGCAGGTCATGGAAACAGCTGGAGTCAGGTCCAGGACACAGAGTTTATTACATTTGGATTGGACGTTTAGACCGAAATAAACCTTTTAAATTAAAAATAACAAGAGATGCACAATTACACAGCCCAAGATGTGTAACGTGTCCATTTATGTGAGAAATCTCTGCACTTCGAGGGACTTTTTCAGTTGTTCTGAACACAGACGCTCAGAGCATCGACTCGCTTCACTGTTTGGTAAAGTTTGGACCAATCAAAATGGACGGAGCGAGTGAGTTTGGACCAAAACAAAGCTCCTATTGGACACTGGTTTTCTCTACGTCATCAGGCAGCGAGAGACAGAGGAGAATGTCGGAGATCCGCTCAGAAAGCCACAAGTCTCAAGGAAAAGTTTCTGTCTTTTATGGTTGGAAAGTTCTGCCCGGTTATATAAACAGAGGGTCCTCAGATTTGACTAGCCCAAATTTAAGACTTTTTAAAGACCTTTTTAAGACCACTTAGATGAAAATTAAAACCAACATCGCACCCATTATGTGGGCGAAAAACACCAGATCCAATTCTGATAAAGACCAACCAACTCCAGGACTTTATCTAGAATCTAAGAGCCACTGTGGATTAAATCTGCACTTCCCCATGATCCATCCAAGGCCTTCCTCCACTCTACTGACTGTTTACTCATTACCGCCGACGCCAGAAACCAAAGTACGGAAACCAAAATACACTCCAAATTAACCGTTTATTCTCGTTATGTGATTTCACGTTCTTGTTTTATTTTTTTTTTCCTCCATTTAACATCGCACTGCAGCCCCGTTGAGTAAACAACAAAATAGGCTAATGAAATTTAAGACCTTTGTGAAAAAAAAAATAAGACTTGGACAATATAATTTAAGACTTTTTAAAGCCATAATTTAGGAACATGAAATTTAAGACCTTTTAAAGACTTTTAAGACCCCGCGGCTGCACTGATAAAACATTCCCAGGCATCAAATACGATACAGTCGGTCTGGAAAGGTTTGAATACAAAGCTGACACATCATCAAACAGCAACTAACGCAGACCGCCTCTAGTGGTGAAGTGTGAGAATACGACAGGGTCTGGTCCAATGACAGACGCAGCTTTAGTGATGGAGAAAACATCCAAACTAAATGTACTGTGTCTAAATGTCTCTGTCGTTCTGTGACTTACAACACGTTCTGAAGTCTGTATAAGCAAGAGAACAACTGTTTGATTACTAAATTCACTCAGGATTATTTCTGCAGTCAGTAGCAGAAAATCACTCTGCTGGTCTTAGTCCTACATGTTTCTGCGTTATCCCATATTGCTGTGTTTCTGTGTTATTCCGTACACGGTGTTTCTTTGCGTCTCCATTGTATGTAACTGTAGATTCTTACCTGTCCGTCCTGCCCGACGTGAACCTGATGAATCTGTAGATTTCCCTGAAAAAGAAAATGACAAAAAATCCCTTTAGTTTCAAGACTGAACCTCTTTTTCTCTTTTAGAATGTGACCTGAAGCAGCCACAGAGAGTTTAAAGCAGTGAAGTACGTGAGTGTGGCACATGTGTGTCTAGTCTCGTGTGTCAGTTTTCTGTGCATGTCTCATGCAGAAAAAGCCGCTGTCCTGCTGCAAGTCATGAAATCTGCAGCAGAAAACTGTAATCGAGCAACAGAAAGTTTGGAGTGATGGAGAAACTTGTGAGGGACTGGAGGAAAGCAGGAACGGAGAACACAGCTTCATGATAATAAATAATGATAATAAAGTATCAGCTTTATAAAGCGCTTTTTTGGACACTCAGAGACGCTTTACAGGACATTATTCAGTCACTCCAGACCCTGTGGTGGTAAGATGCTACTGTAGCCACAGCTGCCCTGGGGCAGACTGACGGAAGTGACGCTGCCAATCTGCACCATTGGCCCCTCAGACCACCACCAATACTCACACACACACACACACACACACACCACTGTCACACTAGGCAATGAGGGTGAAGTGTCTTGCTTAAGGACACAACAACAGTTTTTGCTCTGGTGCCTCCTGTGGCTCCTGATTTTCCCAGAGTCTCCATCCAAGTCCAGACCAGACCAGGACCTGCCTCTGAGCTTCTGAGATCTGACGAGATCAGATTTTGACAAACCTGTAACTGGGAGGATGAGCCGTGCCTGAACTTCAGTGACACCGAAGCTGCACGGAGTCGCTCAGAAGTGACACCGAGGAGGAAGAATTGAATGGATTTAGTGGATTTAGTGATCTGGAGTGAGATGTTTGGTAAACTTATGTTCTGTTGTTGATGCTATAGTTTTCTGAAGAACTGTTCATATGTGACTTTAACATACCATAACTTGCCTTTCAAGATAAAATGTCAGTCCCTGATTTTATAAAATAAATTTCCCCCAAAAAGTGCGACTTATAGTTCAGCGCGACTTAGTCCAAAAAATACAGTAAAATAAAACCCCCAGGATCATGTAGAGCGGGTTAATACGAACATTTAAGACCAAAATGAGGCTCAGAGCAGCAGGTCCAGAGGGAGGGGGCAACGTTTTTTTCATTCTAAAGTAAACTGTCGATGTAAAAGTCGATGGATCGATCGCGTCCGTGCTCACTTCCTGTTTGAACGCGGGGGCCAGTGTTTTACTCATGTCCATTTGTACAAACAGTGTACGCTCCACGCAGACTGCATATTTGATTAGTCATTGTGAGCTTAGTTGATCAGATAAGGCCCCAGTGAAAAAACAATCGGAAACTCTGGCACTCGCACGAGCAATAATTCCCATGTAAAGTCTGCGATATGAGCCGGTCCACAGAGGAGCACTGTACATTGAGCCTTTGTAAAGCTCAGCTGTTTCCTCTCTTTAAATCCGGTATAACTCAAGAGCCCCAGCCTCCATATGGCCACAGAGCAGTGTAATCTATGCAACAGCTCATTTCCTCTCCAAGCACCAGTGTCTTTGATGAGAGGCTTTTTCTTAATGAAAACATATTCCGAGGCAGACGGGGGGAAAAGGGATTCTGTTGCTAAGCTTTGAACTTTGCAAAACAAACAAAATGATGAAATAGAAACAGGAGAGGAAAGAGGAAAGAGCAGGAGAAACTGGGCAGAAATACAAAGCAGAGGGAAAGCAGGGGACTTGAGCGCGTCACTCCAGCCGTCGTCTAAAACTTTGGCCAGGAGGAAATGAGGAAAACACATGCGAGAGGTGTCAGTTACTTTAGGGCAGCGGTCTGACAAACGCTCCATCATATTCACAGAGTAATTACATGTGTATGTGTGTACTCGGACATAAATCACTGTCTGCACCAGAAACCATTTGGTATGAGGCCGGGGGAAATACCTCTGCACCAGACCCGGCCGCTTCGGGGGCCAGACTCTGATTTTGACTTTTCGAGCGCTCGGAGTCGTCCAGAGGGAGAGTTTCAGCGTTTATGGCAAACTGATGACATGAGCCCATTTTATAAGAAAATCCAGGCTTTGGGTTTTATGATTTTCCACTTATTTTTGCTTTTAGGATTTACTCTAACCCTCCAAATATGAAAATAAAAGAATGAGGATGCAGGACTTTCCAGACTTTTCCAGGTCGATCTGAACTGAATTATTAAAGCCACAGGGCTGCAGGGCAAACAACAGATTAAACCGATTACCGTAATTTCCGGACTATAGAGCGCACCTGAATATAAGTCGCATCAACGAAATTTTAACTAAATTTTAAAACTGTACATATATCGGCCGCAACTGAATATAAGCCGCAGGTGTCCACGTCTTCAAGAACGTTTACAAGTTCAGTCGGTCTGTTTTTATCACCTCTGTAAGTTTTTGTCGTCTTTTTGAGTTGAGTCAGTTCGTCGCTGCCGTCGCCGTCTCACCGTCAACTCACTGAGATCGAGTTCACGTGCAGCAGCTCTGTTTTCTTCTTCCACAGTCACATCCATCGCCTTTAACTTAAAATCTGTGTTTCTTCATGTGCTTTCCGTGAGGAGGGTGTGTATGAAGTGCAAAATAACTGTTCAAAACACAATCAAACAGAATCCTCGGTGCATCATCACCTCGTCTCTTCCCGCGCTCTCCTGCTCATGTCTCCTGCAGAAAGAGTCTCTGTTCTGTCTGAATCCTGTCAGTGTCTTGGAGGATTTCAGCAGATTTCAGACTCTCCTGGGGGCGGGGATAGGTGTGGGGATGAGGTGTGAGTGGATGTGCAGCTACTGAAGTTTGAGACGTTTCTTCTCGTCATTTACACACACAGGTAAGACGATTCCCCCTTCATAAACTGATAAACCGTTGAGTGCACTGAAAATATCGTGAGTTCATGTAGCAACTTCATGTGTAACCCGCACAGACAGCGGCGTTTCCTGCAGCTCAAGCTGAAAACTTCTGAAAGAAGCAGCTCAAATAACAAAGTCTTCTGTGTGTGTTCTTACAGTTGGTTTTAATACCGTATTTTTCGGACTATAAGGCGCACTGAAAATCGTTTCATTTTCTCAAAAATCGACAGTGCTCCTTATAATCCAGTGCCTTAATTCTGATTGTGTTTACTGACCTTGAACTGATTTGATCTGGTACACAGCACTCAAAAATCTGTCAGAATGTTTTAGTACGACTTTGGTAAACTACGAAGCCGCACCACTTGATGGATTGTTGGACCATTTCGGCGACCGTAGTCAAGAGCCTCACGGAGTAACACACATTCACCAAAACCAGTTACGAGTTATGAGTTACGCCACAATTTGCCGATGGATCGTGAACGCCTGAGCTAAGGATCAGTCTCAAGTGTCGTCCGAACTTCACGAAGGCCCGAATCATCTTTGAACAGCGAAGGAACAGCGGCGAGACTCGGATAATGCCGAGAGGGACGAGAGGAATGTGTTACAACTGAACAGTCTTGAGAGTTTTTGTGAATGAGTTGAATAATGTTTGACTTAATCACATTTGATTTATCTGACTGTTTTGTTTCTCTTAAGCACTTCATAGTCCAAAAGATACGGTAATAGTTGTTGTTTGGACCAAAGACTCACCTCACTGTCCTGTGTGATCTGCACCTCTTCTCCCTGTGGCACCTGAGCGATGTGCAGCTGTCCCTGGGGAATCTGAGGAAAGACACACAAACACATGTTAAAAGGGAAATTACCAAACCAACTTTATTTGTAAAGCAGTTTAAATACTCCACAGCTGGCCATCAATACAACTACTAAAAAACATAGAAAACAATAAGATAGAAACAACAAGAAATGTACATATTCTTAAAAGCCACTGAAAAAAGGTGCGTTTTTAGGAGTGATTTAAAAACAGGTACAGACTCCGCCTCTAACAGAAAACACATGGTCCCCAAGAAGATTAAGTTTAGTGTTTGGGACGGCGAGCTGGAGCTGAGAGCGCCAGAGCGGGCGTAACGGTGGATCAGGTCAGCGAAGTAGAGATCACTAGGCTGTGCAAACACTTAAACGTAAATAAAAGAATTTTAACATCGACTCTAAAAGACACTGAACTGGAGTGAGGCTAAAAATAGGTGAGACGCTCTCGTGTTTTCAGGTTCCAGTTAAAAGTAGAGCTGCTGGGTTTTGGATTGGACAGTTTTGGCTCACACCAACATAACGTTCATTACAATAATCCAATCTAGTCGTCACAAATGCGTACATGATGTTTAAAAGGTCCTATATTACAAAAAAAAACAAAAAAAAAACTTGGACTTGTGTTTTGTATCTTTTATCTTTTTTTAAAAACTCAGTTTTTACCTTTGTACCATTTCAAGTTCTTCACTGGACAACAAATAATTGGATAAACTAGGGTGTTCTAAAACTTTTGACCGGTGCAAAATGCAGGGTGCTGAAATATCAGCACTAGCGGTAATTTTCAGCTCCTTTTGTCCTTAGTTCAGTTGAGATCAGGGCTGAAATCATCCAAATGATTCTAGTGAAAGTGTATGGAGTTTAAAAACACATTGGAGCACTTCCTGTATGACCACATCACAAGGTGGAACAGAGTGTTTTGAGTTTGAGAGAAGAGCCCAGCCCACATGTCCAGGGTTTGTGTGTTAAACATGGGTTCGGTCAAGTGTTAACGGAGGAAACAGGGGCAGATTTTTGACATTCAAATGTCTCTTATTCAGAAACTAGAGGAACTATTGAAATAAGTAAAGTATCAGAATGTAGGAAAGAGTTACACTCCAACAGGGTCAAGTTAAACCTGTGAGATTCTTTCAAGTTGTTGACAAAAAATTTAAAAACTCATGTTGGTAACGGAGGGAATGAAATATGCAGCACTTTTTGGTCAATAAATCCAAACAGTGATAACTCTTGGTTCTCACTTACATATCCTTAACAAACTGGTTTGAATATTTGCTTCATATAGTTTTCTACCATATGGTACAAGATTAGGTTGAAAAACCTCTGACTTTTTGACTCATGAGATTTTTTATTAAGAAAGGTCATGGTAACGGAGGGAAAAGTAACGGAGGGAAAATTGTACAAACAAGTAGAAGGTGCAGGATTTTATATAATTTGTCGCTTTTTCTTCTGAAAACTTTAATATTACTTCAAAATGAAAGAAACTATTTCTATAAAATATGTCAGTCCTTCCAAGAACATTTTTATCATTTTAAATACTTTTTTTTTTGAAAAATCATGTACCTTCATCAACAGTTCAAAGATGGAATAACACAAGATATGATGAAATACAAACATTTATTTACATGATTTGCAGGTCTTTGAAATTTGGGAAATAATTTTTGTTCCATGTTTCATACATGGTCTGTTTAAAACGGATGGAACTTTAGAACCAAAAATGGAACAGAAAAAAGGTCAACAGTTTCATAAACTAGAGTACATATGTATCTGTTCAATACATTTTTATATCAGATGAATTAACTTGAATTTTTGGCCTTGATGTTTACTTCTGCTTGACCGGGCTCACAAGTGAATGAAACAAAAAACACAACTCCAGGTCTGTGTTTGTGACGAGGAAACGATGCTTTATTAAATCTGCGTCGTCTGAAGCGAGTGCAGTTTTGGGATGTTATTCTGCTCTGAGCTGCTCTCGCCGTCAGCAGCTCCACACAGTAAAACACAGTACGGGCTTTTACATGTTGTTTTAGCAGTGACCATAAATTCTGGGTTCAAAATTTAATGGCGCGCTCAAAGCCAAGCAGCATAATAACTGAACTCTTTAAACTACAGGCTACGTCCAACTTCCAAACAGCTCCTTATTCAGAGTGAGTCCAGCCGGCCGGAGAGTGACGGGGCGCGTTGGACGACAGTTTGAGAGAGGCACAAACACGGCTAAAGGCTCATTTCTGCTCCACTTTCGCACGTAAACAGAAGTTCCAAACACAGACTGTGTAAATGGACAGCGTTCCGATGAGGAAATGAGCACGGATGCGCTTCTGGCTCCATCGACTCTTCACGTTCTACTGAAATAACGTCACCTCGCTCTGTAGCTGCTGCTCTGAGCCTCGTCATTCTGGTCTTAAAATGTTCAGATTAACTCCCTCTACATCAGAGGTGCCCACACTTTTTCATCATGTGAGCTACTTCCAAAATCACTAAGTCATAATGATCTACCTAATACAAAGCCAAACAAACTGCACTGAAACACTCTGTGCCCCTTTTTTGGACCCTCCCCCACAGTTTGAGAACCTCTTCTTTAAGAGAACTTCCTCTGACACTTTACACAAAACTGAAAAAAGTGAAGGAAGATTTTTAAACCTGTTTTTTAAAGTTCCAAACTGGAGTTTCATTCTTTTGTGGTTTTGCAGTGATATTTACCAGCCTCTGCACGTTTACCAAACCAAACGCACATCGTGACAAACACAGATGCATTTGTCACTTTTGTTAGACAAACTTCATCCAAATGTGGCAGTAGGTCTGTTCTGTAGATCCGCTCTATGCTGTAGACCTGCTTTGTGCCAACACTGGAACACAAATTTAGACTGGTTTTTGCTTCACGTTTGGTCTTGTTCTTCTAATCAGCCGCACTGTGGGAGGGGCTTGTGTTGGCTGTACGCAGGAAGGAGCGAGAGCGTGAAAAGGCGAGGGGCGGCGTGCTGACGTGAGGCAGGTGGACAGGTAGGATGTTTAGGAAGTTGAACCTGCCCTGTGATGCACGCTGGTACACGAGGGCACACGCTGTCGCAGACGAGCCGTGCATAGGGAGCGTGTGTGTTTGTGATGCGCCGTAGAGTCTCCGCGGGTTTCAAATGAGCGCACAGGCTGCACTGAGACGCCCCACACGCTCCTGCACCCGCTACAAGTTTATTACCAACAGCAGCGGCCGGAATGAAATATGATCACACTTGTTGAGTGTCAGACCTCGAGTGAGAGACAAGACCGAGTCCAAACGCGATCGAGTCTGAGACGAGACACGGCGATCTACCCACACGACCTTGGCGATCGACTGGTAGATCACGATCGACGTATTGAGCACCACTGCTCTACATGATCCAGTTTTTATTTTGCTGTTTTGTCCATAAATAAATTCCTGTTGCTAATATGGAATTCCGCTTCAAACTGTTTCTATTCACGCTTACGTCGCTCGAATAATTTGGATAATTTCAAGCCAAACTCTACTAACGAAAGGTAAAAAGAGCTGAAAGCAACTGAAAACTGCCACTTGAGCATTTTGAGCTTTGGAGACGTAGACAGACTAATAATACTCTTTAAAGTTTGCATCTCTGAAATATATTGTATTTGTCACTTTTGTTCGTGGTTTGTGTGTTTCCTGTGACTTTTTCTCCGGTGTGATTCTATATTAAAATGTTTTTGGTGAAGTGTGGAGAGGTTCTAGTCTTGTGTGTGAGGATCTGCTGCTCCTGTTCCTCCTGCACCACTGTCACTTGGCTCTACTGCGCATGTCTCCTGCAGAAAGAGCCTCTGTTCTGTCTGTATCATGTCAGTCGATCGCACCGTTACTTCTGCACCACTCAACTATTTTACATTTAAACTTATAAACTTATAAAGATAAAGACTGAGACGACTGAACACAAATGAACACAAAAAACAAAATCAGATTCTGAAGATTACAAACTGCAAGTCGTGAAATCTGCAGCTGAAAACGGAAATCGAGCAGCAGAAAGAAAGTTTGGAGTGAGAGAGAAACATGTGACACCGGGAGGATGAACCGTGAAACTTTCCTGAAGTCACTGGACGGATGGACAAAGTCTGGACTTCAGTGACACCGAAACCATCCTGTCGGGATTCAGAAAGACCCCGATAATTCTAACTGGAACTAGAAATGTAACAATAACTGAAAAATCGTGATATCGTATCGTCAAAGTCTCACAATATATCGAATTACAAGTTCCTTCATAGTTTTATAGTACGAACAGCTTATAAACATCGGGAACTACATGTCCCATGATTCATTTCAGCGCAAACATAAAGAAATATGTTTTATACTTGAATTCTTGGAATTATGATGGAAATAATTCACACCAAAATCTTGTCAAGGTATTTTAAAAGCAAAAAAGTGTCACATCTACAATTATATCAGCCTCTTCTAAATATCATAATAAATACCGTATCATGAGATGTATATCGTGATAATATCGAACTGTGAGATTTGGATATCGTTACAACTCTAACTGAACTGATGCTGAGTCTGACAACAGCGACACACAAGAGTTTGCGTCGCTCTGTTTACCTCCGGAGGTCGAGGCCGAGTTGTTCAGAAGTGACACCGAGGATGAAGAATTGAAGTGATTTAGTGATTTGGAGTGAGACGGAGAGTTTGTTCAACTTGTTTTGTTCTGTTGTTTATAGTTTATCTGAAGAACTGTGAAATATGTGATGTTAACAGTCTGTTCTTCTCTCTTCTGTTGTTTTTACAACTTCACTTCACACAGGAAATGTCAGTTCCTGCTCTCTCAGTTTAGAAAATACATTTCTCTGACTTATATGTTTTTTTCTTCTTCATTCTGTATTTTTTGTGTGGTGCGACTTACAGTAGTTGAACAATAAGACGAGTAACTCACCACCTGCACCTGTCCGTCCTCTCCGATCCGGTGGAACTGGACCTGCTGATTGGCCAGAGTGTAATGCAGAGTCTGTTGTGTGGCTGTTTCTATCTGCGCAGCTTCAGTCTCTGAGGAAACAAACAAACAAACAGAAAAACAACACTTACGGTTAATACAAGAAGCACCAGTATCCTGATAACAACCTGTGTGTGTGTGTGTGTGTGTGTGTGTGTGTGTGTGTGTGTGTGTGTGTGTGTGTGTGTGTGTGTGTGTGTGTGTGTGTGTGTGTGTGTGTGTGTGTGTGTGTGTGTGTGTGTGTGTGTGTGTGTGTGCGTGCGTGCGTGCGTGCGTGTGTTGCATGTTAGAAGACAAATAAATGTGTCATGGCATATTTACTCTGTAGTGAAAAACACACTCAAACATGACAGCAGATAATATTTGTTCTATATTATATTTCAAGATTTTGCACAGCTCTAGACTTTAGACCAGAGGTGGGCAAACTACGGCCCGGGGGCCTTATGCGGCCCTTGAATCTTTTTAATGTGGCCCACCGAACTTGAATAATAATAATAATAATAATGATTTTCAGTGTTTAAAGTAATTTCAATAATATCATGGGACTTGAAAGACAGATATTTTGTTGTAATGTTTTGTAATAATTTTCAATTAGGGACGGGCATTCGATGAAATTTTCTTAATCGATTGTCGGAAGAATTAACGATCGATTATTGATTAATCATTAACGTTTTTATATTAAAATGATCATCATTATTATTACTATCTGCACTAATCTGCATAAATAAATTCAACTTTACGACATATAAACATAACGACTCTAGATCCACATCAGCTGTTTGACATTATAATGTGTTTAATTCAGTTTTGTTCAAATCTCACAGAAACAAAACTTAAAACCACATCACTAATTTACATAAACTAAGTGAAGATAAAACTCCAGCTCTTGTGTCGCTGATGTGGTTCAACTTGTGTTGGATTAAAAGACATGACTCAGGTGAATACAGGTCAGTGTGACCAGATTTGTGTTTGTCAAAACCAGGACAGCGTACGGGGGGAGGGGGGCGGGGCCTCGTCATCCACATTGAGCGACTCTCACCTGGAAAAACTTTTTCCCACTGGACACAGAAACATATGTGCTGCTTTATCCACTGTGCACATGGACTCACACTTGTCCCAACGCAACGGAAAGTGTGGAATTTCTTCTACAAATCCTGGTTAAATCCACATTTGTGCTTCGGTTCGTTACAGACTGACCCACTGTTTGTGTCTCGCTCCTTCTGATGCAGAGACACATGTACACACCTGTTTGGTCACGACACACACACATACATTCAGTTTGTCCATTAAAATGAACGTAATCGATGAAATTCTTAATGATCAATTATCGATTAATCGATTAATCATGCCCATCCCTATTTTCAATTATGGGATATTTCAATAATGTAATATTGTAACGTGTCATTTTTTTCTCTTATGAAGTGTATTACCAAAAAACAACATCCATCTGCTCCTGGTCCGACCATTCTGTCAAATTTTAGAACCGTTTGTGGCCCACGAGTCAAAAAGTTTGCCCACTCCTGCTTTAGAAGATTAGAACAAATCCCATTTACCGCCGTGTTTCAACTGAAATCACAAATAACCTAAAGAAGGACAAACATATGAAGAGATTTTCCTCTAAATAACAGAAAGTCTGAAACAGTGCAGAGCCTCGCGCACCACAACAGGCAGCCCGCACACCACAGTTTGAGAAACACTGGAATAACATCGAGAAACAAACTTTTAAAAGTACAAACACACAAAGATCGGTGTGTAAATCCCAGCGAGCAGTGACTGTGGTCTCCCTCTTCACACACGACCAAAGACCCTCCCCAGAAGCTGCTGCACACGGTCACCCGTGCACGCGGTCACCCACGCAAACGGTCACCCACGCAAACGGTCACCCACGCAAACTGTCACCCACGCAAACGGTCACCCACGCAAACGGTCACCCACGCAAACGGTCACACCACGCAAATCACCCACGCAAGCGGTCACCCACGCAAACGGCAAACGGTCACGCACGGTCACCCACGCACGCACGCGGTCACCCACGCAAACGGTCACCCACGCACGGTCACGCACGCGGTCACCCACGCACGCGGTCACCCACGCAGCCTGCTGTTTCAGCTCTGCCTCTCGTCTTTCACCGCTGCTGCTCAAAAAACACACGGACGGATCCTGGACCAGGCGAAACTCAAACCCACGAGGCTGAAGGGACGTCAACAGGGCTGCTGATACGACACACACCTCGATACGACACACACCTCGATACGACACACACCTCGATACGACACACACCTCGATACGACACACACCTCGATACGACACACACCTCGATACGACACACACCTCGATACGACACACACACCTCGATACAGACACACACGATACACACACCTCGATACACCTCGATACGACACACACCTCGATACGACACACACCTCGATACAGCACACACCTCGATACGACACACACCTCGATACGACCTCGATACAGCACACACCTCGATACGACACACACCTCGATACAGCACACACCTCGATACGACACACACCTCGATACGTCGATACACACACACCTCGATACGACACACACCTCGATACGACACACACCTCGATACAGCACACACCTCGATACGACACACACCTCGATACGACACACACCTCGATACACACACACCTCGATACAGCACACTTCCGATTTCGATACGATATATTTCAAATCGATTCGATGTGTTTCAATAAAATTAAAGTCTAAATTGTGTCTGTGAGACTAAAAGTTTTTGTTAAATCATTTCTGGTGCAAAGTTCATCTAAAACACAAAGATTTTAATCATCAAAACAGAGAAAATGTGTGTGTGTGTGTGTGTGTGTGTGTCTGGTTCTGTGTTTTGGCTGAGCAGTGCTGTGTCTGGTTGTGTGTGTTTGGTTTTGCATGGTGCTGTGTCTGGTTGTGTGTGTTTGGTTTTGCATGGTGCTGTGTCTGGTTGTGTGTGTTTGGTTTTGCATGGTGCTGTGTCTGGTTGTGTGTGTGGTTGTTGTGTCTCTGGTTGTGTGTTTGGCTGTGTGTTGTTGTATGTGTGGTTGTGTGTGTGTTGTTGTGTGTTTTGTCCGTGTGTTTGGTTGTGTGGTTGTGTGTGTGTTTGGTCGTGTGTCTGGTTGGTTGTGTGTTTTGTCCGTGTGTTTGTCCGTGTGTAGTTGTGCGTCCGTGGGAGCTCACAGGATGTGTGCGTTTCCTTCGGTGGGACGTTCCCTGGTCTGGGGTCAGAGGTGTCGGCGCTCGGGGAACAGCAGGACACTGAGCTTTGTGTGCAGATTACAAACACGTGTCCGAACGCACAACCTCACACACACACACACACCTGTCACACAGACACACAAACACACACACACACACCCGCCTGTCACACAAACACACAAAGACACACACCCGCCTGTCACACAAACACACAAAGACACACACACCGCCTGTCACACAAACACACACAAACACACAAAGACACACACAAACACACACACACCCGCCTGTCACACAACACACACAAACACACAAAGACACACACAACACACACACACACACCGCCTGTCACACAGAACACACACAAACACACACAAAGACACACACACACACCTGTCACACAGACACACACAACACACACACACACACCGCCTGTCACACAAACACACAAAGACACACACAAAGACACACACACCCGCCTGTCACACAGACACACAAACACACACACACCCGCCTGTCACACAAACACACAAAGACACACACACCCGCCTGTCACACAACACACAAACACACAAAGACACACACAACACACACACACCCGCCTGTCACACAAACACACAAAGACACACACCCACATAGACACACACCCACACAGACACACACCCACACAGACACACACACATACAGACACACAGACACACATCCTCACACACACACACACACACACCTGTCACACAAACACACAGTCACACAATCACACAGTCACACAGACACACAGTCACACATTGACACATTGACACAGACGCCGCATCATTCTACTAGAACAAATGAAAATACAACATCCACGCATGAACTATTTATAAGAAACATCAGTAAAAAATAACTTTGGAGTTGAATCCAGGCGCAAAACTGTGAAAATAAACTGAAGACAGCGTGTGGCGTTTGTGGCCTCGTGTGTGTGTGTGTGCGCGTGTGTGTGCGTGTGTGTGTGTTTTGTAAATGAGAGTGAGCAGAGCTGAAGTGTGTGTGCTTCTGCTCCTGTGCTGCACTTTAAATGTTGTTTATTGTTGTTTATTTTGACGCTGAAGTGAACTCGAGATGCGTTGTGTTGTTTTCAGGAGTCTGTGCTGTTAGTCTGATTCCTGAGCTGGTTTCACTTGGTGGAAACCGTGTGACCTGCAGCATTAGGATTTGTTCACTCGACAGTAGACGGGGACTTTTTTTATTGAACAAAATCGCTGCTGTTTGGTCGTGATGTTTGTAAAGCTCCAAATCCTGTAGGAAGAAGAACAATAACGTCTTTCCCTGAGATCAAATTCACCAAACATTCTCTTTTTTCCGAATTTAAATACTCAATCTCGGGAATCGTTGACAACGCAGAATGTCTGACTCTTCTCTGATTGGCTGATGAACTCACACTTCCAGGGTTTTTCTAAATCGTCTAGTGTTTTCTGATTCCTGATCTAGTCTCTGGAGAGAAATTAAACTGAGCGGAAGCACTAGGGGGCAGCAGACTGATTAGCTTATTGGTGTTTGGGCCCCCCCTCCCAAAAAAATTTCTCTTCTGCATTTACTTCCTCAGTCTGGGCGAGCTCCTCCCTCTCTGTAGCGTTCACGGCGTGGAGCATCTGGACCAATCAGAGGCGAGCACTGGCTCAGAGCGGCGAGGATCATGCTGAGGCAGTTTTCCCGACATCCGTTGTAAATGTGTTTCATTGCAATAGTCGTGGAAAATACGGAGCAAGAAAGTTTAATGTAACGTCAGGTACTGGACTTTTACATGTTCAGAAAAAAACTTGTGTTACTGTTAAATGACGTGAAAGAAAATTTAAATGTTACTACAAAGTTTTTAGAAAAACTTTCTCTACACAAACACAAACTGAACACATCACAGTGACGTGAAGACAGTTCTCCCCGTTTACTGTGGCGCCGATATTTTTGCTGTGACGTAAATCCAACCGACTCCAAACTAACTAAACTAAAACTCACGGTGAGGCGTCATTCAGCTTTTGCGGCCCCCGTTTGTGGAACAGTCGACCTGAGGATCTGAGGTCCGCTGAGTGTGTTCAGATTTTTAAAAGTAAACTAAAAACGTATCTTTTTAATTTAGCTTTTAATTGAAACTTTTATTTGTTTTATCATTATTATTATTATTATTATTTGCTTTTAATTAAATTACCATTAATATTTTATTTAGTCTTCATCTGTTTTTAGCTCTCCATTTATATTTTTACTATAACCTTTAGGAGCTTTATGTTTCTGTTTTATTGTTGTATATATGCATGAAATAATGGGGTGGGGGGGTTGCTGTTATTTTTAATATTGTAATTTTTTCTGTTGCATGTGAAGCACTTTGTGCTACATTTCAAATGTATGAAAAGTGCTATACAAATAAAGTTTGATTGATTGATTGATTGATTGACTTGTGTTTCTGAACCTCCATCTGATTGGCCGTTCCATTGCACAATGTCGAGGTGGAGGTCGATTTTCCCCGAGTCCCAAACGCAACGGAGCTCAGCAGAAGTGTTACAAAGCTCACTTGAGGCGCTTCGAGGATTTAAAAATGTTAAATAAGTCTGATGAAGAAGAGGTAGAGCGCTTCATTGGGTGTTAAATGTTCAACGTTAAAGTTTATTTGTTTTTTTTAACTAAGTCCTGATGAAGACCAGTCCTGTTTGAAACACGTCGGCTTTGGCCTTTTAACTTTATGTTTCCTGCGTGCTTTTACTTTATTGGAGTGGATTTCATGTCTGAAGTTTATGAGAGTTTAGATCCTTTTTCAAGAGCGCCCTCTACCTGTTCTGACTGGAACACCTGCAGCAAACACAAACATTTTAGTTTTTTTCTGCACTTAAATAAGTTTCTATCGTCAAAATACAAAAGAATCCTACAGAATATGACCTTTTTGAAAGCCCTGTCAGAACACGGGCAGGTTCAATTCCCAAAACGCATGTGGGAGAATTTCTGGGCCCAAGGAGCTGCAGTACCTGGAGTGACCACTAGAGGGGGTCAGGCTTATCCAGGTTTTATTATAGATCCGTGGTTTTGCTCCCTGTTAGCGTGAAGGTTATTCTAATCCACTGGAAATGTTGGAATCCTGATTATCACGGTCAAAATAACTGCAATTAACAGTTATGTCATTATAATTACTAAAGTTCCGGGTTAAAAATCAGTTTTAGTTTTGTGCTTTGTGCTCGGTCAATGTACTTTTGGATACGACTGCTTCCTTGTGCACTGGGTTTTTGAGGATGATGATGATTTCACTCGTTTGATAAAAACCGAGGCAACTTCTTCTTTTTCTCGGGACAGATTATGAAAATGGAGCCGGGCAGGTACCGGTGCATCTCGTCATAAATGGATTCCTCACTCCCCAAAAAACACGCCAAACAAATCCAAAAACAGACGATAACACAGACAACTCTTGGCCGGCGTCTCCTCTCTCCCTCTGAAACCAGCAGTAAATATTTAAAGTACTCGCTGAAACTGAAACGGCTTTTACCCCAGACCAGCCTGTCGCTTTATTTATGACTTTATATCATTTCTGATTAACCGAGCGGGCGGTTCCGGCTTCAACTGAAACAGAAATAACTAAAAATAACCAAAACTCTAAACATCCACAGACAAAAATATCAGATTAAAAGTGTTTTCAATTTTATTCTTTAGCTTTAAACATCTGTGTCTTGTGTTTATTTTATTTACGTCCTGCCTTTCGGGTCTTGTTCATTTTCTTACATATACTTTTATTTTGAAATCTGTGCTTTTATTTTGGTTCTCCGCACTGGTCCGTGGAACCGAAGCGTGAAAAATAAGCGAGAGAGATGAGAACGTAAATTGGAAAAGAGGCTAAAGATCGAACTTAGAGCAACTCTTTACTTTATTTTCATTTGTTCATATTGAAATTTACTAATAATAAACTTTTGAATTGAATTTAATCGAACTCAGCGCCTGTGTGTTTACGTTTGTACATTTAATTTGAGTTATTTCATGTATAAATTGCTTTAAAAAATGAAATTGTAAAGTTAAAAATGTTATGTTGTTGTTATTATAGCAGTCACGTTATTTAGACTAACGGTTATTTTCTTTGTGTCACGCAGACTCATAATGTACCAGCACTTTTGTTCGTGGTTTGTGTGTTTCCTGTGACTTTTTCTCCGGTGTGATTCTATATTCAAATGTTTTTGGTGAAGTGTGGAGAGGTTCTAGTCTTGTGTGTGAGGATCTGCTGCTCCTGTTCCTCCTGCACCACTGTCACTTGGCTCTGCTGCGCATGTCTCCTGCAGAAAGAGCCTCTGTTCTGTCTGTATCATGTCAGTCGATCGCACCGTTACTTCTGCACCACTCAACTATTTTACATTTAAACTTTAAACTTATAAAGACAAAGACTGAGACGACTGAACACAAATGAACACAAAAAACAAAATCAGATTCTGCAGATTTACAAACTGCAAGTGGTGAAATCTGCAGCTGAAAACGGAAATGGAGCAGCAGAAAGAAAGTTTGGAGTGAGAGAGAAACTTGTGACACTGGGAGGATGAACCGTGAAACTTTCCTGAAGTCACTGGACGGATGGACAAAGTCTGGACTTCAGCGACACCGAAACCATCCTGTCGGGATTCAGAAAGACCCCGATAATTCTAACTGGAACTAGAAATGTAACAATAACCGAAAAATCGCGATATCGTGTCGTCAAAAGTCTCACAATATATCGAATTACAAGTTCCTTTGCTTAAATTCAAAGTTTTATAGAACGAATAGTTTATAAACATCAGGAACTACATTTCCCATGATTCATTTCAGCTCAGACAACATGAAGAAACATGTTTTTACTTGAATTCTTGGGATTATGATGGAAATAATTCACACCAAAATCTTGTCAAGGTATTTTAAAAGTAAAAAAGTGTCACATCTACAATTATATCAGCCTCTTCTAAATATCATAATAAATATCGTCCTGTGAGATTTGGATATCGTTACATCTCTAACTGAACTGATGCTGAGTCTGACAACAGCAACACAGAAGAGTTTGCGTCGCTCTGTTTACCTCCGGAGGTCGAGGTCGAGTTGTTCAGAAGTGACACCGAGGATGAAGAATTGAAGTGATTTAGTGATTTGGAGTGAGATGAAGAGTTTGGTTAAACTTGTTCTGTTCTGTTGTTTATAGTTTATCTGAAGAACTGTCAAATATGTGACGTTAACATATTAACACATACTCGATCTGTTGTTATTACTAGAACTTGCTTTTCCCTAAACGAGAGAGTAAATCCCCGTCAGCTCCTCGCGCTCTCACTGACACTGGATCAGCTGTTGACGATTAAAAAAACTCACCAAATCATCGAGATCAACCAAAGCAGAGATCGCAATCTACTGATCTTTCGATTTCTGGCACAGCCCTTCACTAGAATCATTTGGATCATCAGCCCTGGAGTTGCTGATCTCGACTGAACTAAAGGGAAAAGGAGCTGTTCACTCGAAAACTACCACTCTATGACATCACACAGTGAACAGAGCGCTTGGAGTTTTGGAAATGTAGGTAGACTCATAATAAAGAGTAACAACAAAACACAACTCCAGGTGTGTTTTTGTTTTTGTTTTTGAGGAGGGAACAGCATTAGAAGAGGATTTAAAGCTCACAGGGGTCAGTCGCGTGTGCTGTCGGACTGTTAAACGGCGTGATGACGATGACGATGACGATGACGGTGACGGTGACGGTGACGGTGACGGTGAGGGTGCTGTACCTGAGACGGAGGAGCGGGGAGTGCGTTTGGAGAAGCTCTTCACGGCCAGACTCTGCCCTCTCTGTTTCCGTCTCCAGGCCGTGCGACATTTGGAGTCGATGCTCTGTTTAATGCGATACCAGTCCGACTCAGAGATGCCAAATTTGTAGAACAAGTGACCTAGAAACACAGACACACACAAAAAAATCAGTAATGAAAAGCTGCACTGTGTAACTTTGTGGTTTGGGTTCCGTCAACTGCTTGTTTCTATGGAGACGTCACTGCTCTGCCTGGAATGTTCCATTCCATGTGACATTAAACAGCTCGACTTTACATTTATTCAGTTACAGGTGGTTTTAAAGCTCAAAAATACAAAGAAAAACAAAACAGACATTCTGACTGTGAGCGGAGTCGCCTCTCCACAGATCTGACCCACATTCATATGTGATATTAACATATTAACGCATATTCAGTCTGTTGTTCTCTATTGTGTCGTTATTACTAGAACTTGCTTTTCAAAATGAAATTGATTGATTGATTGCATTTATATAGCACCTTTCAAGATCCCCAAAGCACCTTACAGTTCATTATTCAGTCCCTCCACACTCAGTGGTGGTAAACTACTATTGTAGCCACAGCTGCCCTGGGGCAGACTGACGAAAGCGAGGCTGCCAATCTGCCCATCGGCCCCTCCAACCACCACCATCACTCACGCTCACACCTCTTTCATACTAAGCAATGTGGGTTAAGTGTCTTGCCTAAGGACACAAGGACAGTTTTTTGCCACTGGCGCCTCCTGTGGCTCCTGGAATTCCTAACGGTCTCCCATCCAAGTCCTACCAAGGTCGAGCCTGCTGAGCTTCTGAGATCTGACGGGATCAGGCTTTGACAAGCCGGTATGGCCACAAAATGTCAGTGGAAATGTCAGTTCCTGGTCTCTGAATTTATAAAATACATTTCCCCAAAACGTGCGACTTATGTATGTTTTTTCTTCTTCATTGCGCAGTTTTTGGCTGGTGCGACTTAAACTCCAGGGTGACTTATAGTCCGCAAAATACGGTAAGTGTTTATGTGGACTTTTTAAAGCAGAAAAAAATCATTTTTATTCAGAGTTAAATCTCTCATGTAAACGTGGCGACTGTGAAACATCGCAGACAAACCAAAAACATCACCAAGGAGAAAAGCATCTGACGCACCGTCCACCGGAAAAGTTACACAATGCAACTTTTAAAAACGGCAAATTCACACAGTCTGAACAAACACGACTAAATGAGGGAGAAAATGGGTCTGCCAGATTAATTTCAAACCCAAATATTTTACCAAATCAGAATAGTAGATAATTTGGTAACACAAAGCGGTCTGCAGTCTCTGAGGATCGGTGTGTTTTCAGAACCCTGCTGACCCTGGACTTTAGTGGTCCTGCTCTTGGGAGTCTTGTGTGTTCTTGGATCGTTTCAGCATTTAAGCTTCTTGGCGCGTTTGTAATGGGAAAACTGATAACTTAATCAAATGATAAATAAAACATTAATTGCTTTTAGATCATTTCCACAGGTGTTCAGTGGGTTCAGTAAAAGTGCCATGTTACTCCACTCTCGGATCTATAATGTTAAAATGCTCTTTCCTTGTGTTTAGTTTCACTCTCGTACGTTTGAGTAACTCTTTATTATTCGTCTGTTTACGTCTCCAAACGCTCTGATCCACCTCGTGATGTCATCTAGCGGTAGTTTTTAATTAATTTAACTGCTCCTTTTCCCTTCAGTTCAGTCGAGATCGGCAGGACTGAAACGATCCAGATGATTCTAGTGAAGGTGTGTGGAGTTTAAAAACACAGCGGAGCACTTCCTGTATCACCACATGATGACGTCACAAGGTGGAACAGAGTGTTTTCAAGTCTAAATCTGAGTGTTAAAGAGTCACTAAACACTCTCCCCAAGATTTACTCCGCTCAAAGCAAAAAAAAAAAAATCAACGGGTTGGAGGGAGCGGGTGTGGGGTGGTGCCTGGCGGGTTTGAGGGGAGCGGGTGCGGAGCGGGTGCGGAGCGGGTGCGGAGCGGGTGCGGAGCGGGTGCGGAGCGGGAGGCGGTACCTGGCGGGTTTGGGGCAAGCGCTGTGGGGAGCGGTGGGGCGGGTGCGGAGCGGTGCCTGGCAGGTTTGAGGGGAGCGGGTTGCGGAGCGGTGCCTGGCGGGTCGGGGGGAGCGGGTGTGGGGTGGTGCCTGGCGGGTTTGGGGCAAGCGACTGTGGGGCAAGCGACTGTGGGGCAAGCGACTGTGGGGCAAGCGACTGTGGGGCGGCGCCTGGCGGGTCGGGGGAGAGAGCTGGTGGCGGGGTGGTGCCTGGCGGGTCGGGGGAGCGGGTGCGGGGTGGTGCCTGGCGGGTCGGGGGGAGAGACTGTGGGGTGGTGCCTGGCGGGTCGGGAGGGAGTGGGTGTGGGGTGGTGGCCTGGCGGGTCGGGGGAGCGGGTGTGGGGCGGTGCCTGGCGGGTCGGAGGGAGAGACTGTGGGGTGGTGCCTGGCGGGTCGGGGGGAGAGACTGTGGGGTGGTGCCTGGCGGGTCGGGGGGAGAGAGACTGTGGGGTGGTGCCTGGCGGGTCGGGAGGAGTGGGTGTGGGGCGGGCTCTGGAGCGATGATTGACAGCCGACCGACAGCCGCACCACTCCAAAACGGCGTGGACTGATGCCTCCAGACTTTAAAACAGGGCGGACATTTGCGCTCAGATCACGCCGTTTCCCTTTTCTCCAGGGCGGGACATGGCGGTGCCCGGCGGTGCCAGGTCAGGGCCGGGCTCACGTCATAACCTGCGTCTGACTCATCGGCGCCGTTAGTCCAACCCAGAAACTCAAATGACGTGACCGTAGTTGAGGCCAACACAGACACGAGTTTGACCCAAAAGTCAAATTTTTTACAAGTCTTCAGGGGAACAGAAACAGACTTACATTTTAGACACATTTCTACAGAGAATCAGTAGAAAAAAGTGATTTTGGTGTTTAGCAGCTCTTTAAACGTGTGAATGAACCAAAACTCAACTCCAGGTCGGTTTGTGACGAGGAAACGACATCAGAGCAGATCAGAGAATAAAGTGATCCGGGCGTTTTTAGTCCCGTGTAACCAAACCCACACAGAACACTGAAATGGGGCTTAAAAGGGCCTGATTCATCTGCACATTCTGAGCGTCAAGGAGTAAAAATAAACACATATGGCACACCTGCTTTGACCGAGGCCTTCACAAATCAGAGCTGTTTGGCCGCAGAGTAAACACGGAAAACTAATGAAGCCACGACTGTAAAATAATACAAAAGGACGTCTACGCGGCCGATCGTGTACGCGGCCGATCGTGTACGCGGCCGATCGTGTACGCGGCCGATCGTGTACGCGGCCGATCGTGTACGCGGCCTTCGTGTACGCGGCCTTCGTCTACGCGGCCGATCGTCTTGGACAACATAATTTAAGACTTTTTAAGGCCTTAATTTAGGAACATGAAATTTAAGACCTTTTTTAGGACTTTTAAGACCCTGCGGCTGCACTGTGCATTTCCCATGATTCTTTTCAGCGCAGACGACATGAAGAAATATGTTTTTACTTGAATTCTTGGGATTATGACGGAAATAATTAGGGCTGTGCAAAAATATTGAAATATCGATATATCGAATTGTTTAATGTGATGATGTGATGATACAGTATCGATATCGTGGGCTGCTGTATCGATATATCACAGAGAGGATTTTTTGGCTTATTTTACTAAATGATTTAGTTCCAGCTACAGTTTTGTTGTTTGTTCAGAGGAAGGAAACTCGTTTATGCGACACATTTGACATTTTCTCTGTTTCGAGGAGTAAAATGTTTGTGTTTCAGATGAACCTTTTCAACAGGAAATGTCGGCTCCTGGTCTTTGATTTTAGAAAATAAATTTTCCCCAAAAAGTGCGATTTATATGTTTTTTTCTTCTTCATTCTGCATTTTTTAGTTGGTGCGACTTATACTCTAGAGCAACTGTTTTGTTTTCTGAAAAATTCAGAAAATAAATGGCTTAAAAAAATTTAAAAAAACGCTCTACTTTACATTTATTCAGTTAGAGGTGGTTTTAAAGCTTAAAAACACTGAGAAAAACAGACATTATGACTGAGCGGGGTCGTCTCTCCACAGATCTGACCTGTAACGTGGTCTGGTTCGGTCTCCGTGAAGATAGAAAGTTTTAACGAAACTCTGTGAAACATTCCAGACAGAGCAAGCACCGGAAAAGTTCCAGAGTGCAGCTTTAAGTGACTCACAGCGGATGCCGTAGATCATGAGGGGGTCGAGCTGCTTCTTGCCGTGTTTGCCTTGGCCCGACAGGTTGGACATGGCCTGGACCTCGCGGTGGAACAGGTAGTCGAGGAGAGTGAGCGCCATCTTCTCTGCGGTGCGGCAGTTTGTGGAGATGTGGAGCATGTCGGCGGGGGAGACCGGGCATCGAACCCTCATCTCGGGGTTGTTCTCGTCTCCCAGCCACGTGCCGCTGGGGTAATCCTCTGAGGAAACACACGGCCAGAGACGTTTAAACGCACGACACTAATTCATATATGTACATATTTTCATAAAACTGTTTATTGTGACGTTAGAGAGAGAGAACAAACAGAACAAAACAAAACAGAACAAACAAAACAAACAAAACAAACAAAACAAACAGAACAAACAGAACAAACAAAACAAACAGAACAAACAGAACAAACAAAACAAACAGAACAAACAAAACAAACAGAACAAACAACAAACAAACAGAACAAACAAACAAACAGAACAAACAAAACAAACAAAACAAACAGAACAAACACAAACAAACAAACAAACACAAACAAACAAACAAACAGAACAAACAAAACAAACAGAACAAACAGAACAAACAAAACAAACAAAACAAACAGAACAAACAGAACAAACAAACAAACAGAACAAACAGAACAAACAAAACAA